AAAGAAAGCCGCAGCATCTGCTTTCTTGATCATGGCGGCAAAACATGAGCAGTTGTCTGGATGACAACCTTGAGTAGCATGAAAAGCACGGGAAGCCGTCACAAGCTTGGTCATCTGAAGACTTCGACTCAAACTCAAGAAGGTTCGTGTCTAGCAATGGGGTGGAACAAGCGCACAAACTGTGAAAGGCACGGGTCGCTTTGAAGGGATGTGCTTGACCTTGCTGGCCCCCATGAACCCCGGGTACTACCGCAAAGCTTGAGCAAAGAGTCGGATTCATCTTCTAGTTAGCCTCCAACAGCTCCATAGTACTGTTCGGAGTATGTTATTGCTTGTTTATACATAGACAACCTCTGTGTGCACATGGCACAGAGTGAAACGCGAAGCCGCACTTGAGAAGCGATGTGTTAGCTTGTAAGCTCATCCAGCGTGTCTTACGCAGGGCCGTGAGCGCATCCTAAGAAACACCGAACCGCGCAAGGAAATTTTGCATCTGGCATTGCACGTTGGTATATTCCATTGGTGAAGCTTGGGCAACATATCACATGCAGCTTCAGGGATGGTGATGCTAGGAGCAAGAATTGACTCAAAAGCTTAGGATCGTTTTAGGTGAGCAAGTTGGCAAGGCCTTGAATCAGGAAACTCTCTCCCTTCTCCGCTCTACTCTTACTGTGAGGCTCGGAAGGAGGCTCCGGATGTGGTGGTTGGGCACCCATTCGAGCAGAGGAGTCATAGCAGCAGCTCTAACTATGGACATCAAAGCCATGTGCGCGTTTGAAAGCAGTATTCGTGCTCATGCTTGCAAGATGTGTTGCTGACGGCTCGGCAATAACTTCTGGCAAATGGACGGGGTTGGTGGTCCGAAAAACATGGTAAGGGGCAAGGGAGTCTACGTCGAATCAATTCTTGGTCTGGGTTTCTTATTGTGGTGAGTCCTAACAAACCCTCGAAATCATAGAAGCCCTAAGGAATCAAGCCTGAGTCCAAAGAATGTCCGTCAAAGCCATGCGCAGGTTCCGCCTCCGCAGCAGTCCTTGCCCACATCCTCAAGTCAAAGGTATCCTTAGTTTGCCAATGCCACAAATATCGTGCCCACATCAGCTCTTGACTATAACTGCTTGCTGCATAGTCCGTATATCCATAGTTATATCGTCTGGGATTGTTACATGTTTTATCTGGGCCATGAGTATACTTACTGAGTCCCCCTGACCCTCAAGTATCCTGCATGACCCTGAACCCTGATCCCTAAACCCTAAAACCCTGAACCCTAAACCCTACAGCCCTGAACCCTAAACCTTAAAATCCTGAACCCTAAACCCCCGAACCCTAAACTGTGATGCTTTGCGTGCCTGAGGCCAGCGCAAAGCGACCAGGGCCTAGGGCTCTTCCTCAGCCAAAGGCATTCACAACGGCTTGTTAGAGGGTTGTTTATAAGGGCTATATAGGGGTTCTATAAGGTGATAGGTTTCTGTGGGGGCGATATTAGGGTTATATAAGGTTACATAGGGTTATATGGGGTAATATACATGGGGACCATTGAAAAGAACATGGAAACTACTATTTAGAGTTTAGGGTCTAGGGGAACATTACCCAGACATTGGAAAATCAAACGGAAAAGAACATGGAACATGAAATGGGAACTGGGTTTAGATGGGGTAATGAGGATAATTACCAATGGATTTCTGAAGGGTGAGTGGGGAGTGGTCCCCCACAATAATCCTTATATAAGGAGTTGCATGGTGACAGGGAGCCAGAGCGAGAGAGAGAGAGATATATCTATATATAGATATATATATATAGATAGATAGATAGATAGCTATCTGTATATGTATGGTGCCCCCCCCAACCTCTATGTTATATATATATATATTTATATGTAGACATGTATTTGTGGCAAGCCCATTGATCTACCGTTTCTGCATCTCAGGTTCCACGACTTCGAACATGTTTCGATTTTACAAGGTTTCCTTGCTTTCTCATGTTCAGACAAGTCCTGCGCAGGCCTGAGATTCTATGGAAATGATGGGAACCATAGAAATCATGGGTTTTGACAATGTTTTCCCATGATCTTTGAAAACACAGCAAGAATTGATGTCTTCCCTGATTTCCATGATCTTTTTGAAGCAGCTCCGGCCCGAGCTGAGATTCGTTGAAGATCCCAGCTCTGTTGTTCAGATTGTTTGAAGCATTCACATTCAATGATTTCTTGATTTCTGGAGTAAGAAATCCTTTATTCTGGGATGACATTGTTTTCTTCCTATTGCAGCTCACTCCTACTTGTTAAACTAACTTGTGCGCAGCTTAACCACTTCAGATGGTAGAGTTGACAGCTACTTCTAGTTCCTACATTGTATGCGAGGAACCCACTTTTTCAAGCCTGCTAGGTTTCTCTGTCAACTTTAGTCACGGGGCGAGACTTGTGTTCTGCGCTTGTTCCAGATAAAGAACTAAGGCTTGGCTCGGCTACAGAGGGCCTAATTTGGTGTTTTGTTGTTTGCTCTTGGGTTTCTATGGTGTCTCTTTCGCTTGAAAGCAAGTTCTTGGGATTTTGTGCTTCTAGATAGTTTCTTCAAATCAATCGAAGTCATGGAATTCGAGCTCTTGATTAGTATCGTTTGAATTATGATTTTAGCGTTTGATTGCTACTTTTCGAATCATGAATCCCCTGACCAACTTCAGGATAGTCACAGTTGCACAGTTGCAGCAGAGTAAGAGGACCTACTGTGTTGAGGCAAGGTCTAGAGATCAGCACACCTAAAAGGTAGGTCCATTAGGGTTTAGGGTGTAGGGTTTGAGGGTCTCTAAAAATAAGGGCTAGGGACCCTTCAACATGTGGTGGCTACAAAGTAGCTAGCTCTGCTCTTGTGAGGAGGGTTCACATTGAATTTACTTTCCGAGCGAGCCAGCCTTTGTCTGGGATTTTCTCAACGTTTCGGGCTCCTTGTGCATGTTTGTGTACTACAGTAAGGATCCTGATGTCAGTTGAGTGTACGCGGGTCCCCAGATGCATCTAAGAAGCGCAACAGCACCTACACAGCTTTCGTATAGTCCCTTAAATTCCCAGGCAGTCGTGACATTAGTCTTCACCTAGTCCATTTATGGCTTTCATGTCGTTACATCACTGTTTTGACATGCGCACATAGGCGTTCAGGGAGATGACTTGCTGGTCCTTATGGAGGTTCAGCAGTTTCTTGCCCCACAAGCATCAGCCACAGCCTGTCAACACTGTAGAAGTGCACGAAACAAGGGCACAACGAGGGAGGTAGATGGACCAAAGTCGAGTTTCAGGGATGCCGGTTTGGCGTGACGTTGTCACGATATAGTCCCATCAGCGAGCCCTCTCAAAGAGACTCATAGCCGTTGCTCATCTGATCGAACCTCACTTGCAGTCGACATCCTTCAGAATTCCAAGCCTAGATCTTGGGCTGACAGGCAGTGGAAGCTAAGCCAGCTACGCCGGCGGCGGCCTCCACCACGGTCTCAGCCTTGGGAGAACTTCGTGTGCTTGACAGCAGAGGTTGTAGGGTTATTGGGACATACTGGGCTGTACGTGCAATACCGCTTGGGCCACAACATGGCGGGCTTTAAGTTTGATGCATGGCCATATGCCTCTTTCAGCATGAATGCTGTGTTCAGGCCGGCAGGGTTCCTGTCTCCCGAGCACTCATCTTTGAAATAACGTGTGCTGTCCTTGATAGGACTCCCAAGTTGGAGACCCATCGTGCGCAACCTTGATCCCGCCTAAGCCAAGGCTCGGAAGGAGTCTCCAGATGTGGTTGTCCCGACCTCAGCCGAAAAAGGGTCTGGTTCACGGTTCAGAGCTTCAAGTGAGAGGGGTGTCCTTCCCATGCCAAAGAACAAGAAGACTGATAAAAACCTAGTTCTCAGACATCTAGAGGTCTAGAGGTATACTCCAACCTGAAAACTTATGTCGACTTGCACTGCAACTTTCAGACTGGATGTTTGTGCCGCTTCATTGCAGTTCGCTGCTCTCAGTTTGTATCTGCTTAGCGGGTTGAAGTAGATTTCTGAGACAGGCAGCTTGCCGGTATGAATTCGCGTCTGAGACCATTGCGTTCCAAGAGGCAAATTGCTCTCGCTCTCGCTTTCTCTGTTCCCCATGGCTTCAGGTAGCATCATGCACACGGGCTTGGCTAGATCCAGTGCGCTTCAATAAAGAAGTGTCATAGTTTTGTAGGCTTTTGAGTCCCTTCTTTACAGCGCTTAGATGGCGGAAAGCCGTTGTGATCTACATGCAACTTGAAGCAGGATTTTCATCCAAATGGAAGCAGCATCCAGAGTGCAGAAAAGCTTGAGCGATAGCAAAAGGAATTTGCAGTTTCTCCAAACTCTTCAATGTCTGTTCTGGGCAGGAACCTTTACCCATAGTAATCGCAAAGCTCAAGCAGCAGGTCGTGACTTCCACCCCGGTGAGAACTACCCCGGTGCCCTCCGCTTCCTTGTCCCATACAGAGGCGCCGGTCTGCGTTGTCGGTTGCGGCTTGTTGCCGACGCCATGATAAGCAAAGCACGACCAGGGACTTCAAACAAGGTGCCTGAGCTGGCAAGCCAGGCCGCTGAAACCAAGCCGCCAGTACTGTCTGCGACGAAGCCAGCCGGAGCCCCAGCCCTGGCGGGGGGTGGCAAAGAAACACCAATATTCAAGATCGGAATGACGCACGCATCACTTTCCAGCAATGATCAAGAGATCCTGTAGAGCTAAGGCCCAGAAAGAACAAACGGCAGCCCCAGATGTGGTGGTCACATCCTCTGCTGGGCAGGAGAAGCTGTGCGGCTGTGCCGGAGTTTGTCGATTCAAGAAGCAAGATGTTGGAGGGGTGTCATGCTGCGAGGGATTCTGAGTCCTGAGTGTCCTGAAAATCTGATCAACATATTGGCTGATATGCAAGATGCAAGACGTCGGACCCTGTTTTCCAGGTCGTCACGGCAATGCCGGAACCGGCTGCCCCTGCGGTTCCAGCTATGGCCAAACCTGAGGCACGCAATGCAGGAGTCCTTTGGTGTGCCGTTTGGGGTAGGCACGTAGACCGTCTCATGGTAGGAAGTTGCTGTTTGGGATATGGCCCTTTAAGCGAAACCTGGCTGAACGCACCCGCCAGACTCTGGAAGAAGTGGCTGATGTAAACAGTGTCGAAAGAAAGCCGCAGCATCTGCTTTCTTGATCATGGCGGCAAAATATGAGCAGTTGTCTGGATGACAACCTTGAGTAGCATGAAAAGCATGGGAAACCGTCACAAGCTTGGTCATCTGAAGACTTCGACTCAACTCAAGAAGGTTCGTGTCTAGCAATGGGGTGGAACAAGCGCACAAACTGTGAAAGGCACAGGTCGCTTTGAAGGGATGTGCTTGACCTTGTCGGGCACTACGCTCTGCTTGGGCCTGATAGGACCTTGGCCACAGCTGACGCAGCACTAGTCTATCAACGGTTCGATTGTCCTCTACAAGCCGACCATATTTCATGGACTTGAGTCATGACCACAGCACCGTCATGCTTATTTTTATAAGCCTCATTATGTGACTGGTCCTGCATGCGGAACCGCCTCAGGAGCAACAGCTTCCAGTCCTGAACAGATGGGTATTTGGCCATCACGTTCCAAAATAGTAACGGGGGTTCCAAACCCCAAGATAGGTCATTGCAACGTGCGAGGAAGGCCAAAAAATGTTTCGAAGGCTTTCACTTTTTGTTTTAAGCAAAGGTACTGACACCACAAAAGTTATTTCGGGCTGTAAAACATTTTTTAGGGACCCTGGGGGATGACCAATGCAGTCCAGGAGGCCCCCTTAGGGATTGTTTTGGGTGGCTTTGAAGATTTTATGTTCCAATCAGTTTAGCATTTTCTTGCAAAAAGCAAAGCTGCCCAGATCCGTTGACTGCTTGGCCAGGTCAAGACTGTTCCTCTGGGGACGCACAAGGCGGGAGGGGAAGAAGGTGTCGTACCTGTGATCCTCCAATGTAGTTAGTGCTAGGCCTGGGGCTGAGATTAAGCCGGGCCGGTGGCTTGCAGATCAATGAGTAGCTTGCCGCTACGGCTTCGTGGTAGTCTTTGCGGCCAATGCTGAGCCTCACATGAGGATGAGCTTAAACAAAGGCCGCTTTGAACGCAAACAAACTGAACTGCGCAGAAGGCCCACTGCAAAATCTTCATTGATTATTCCTCGTTGCTTTCGTGTGACTACCCGGCAGACACAAGGATAACATCATGCGCGCAGTTTGCTGAAGCCCTTGAATTCCTGCTGGCCATCCTGGAGTGCCTGCGCAGATGCCCGTCCAGTCCTCCACAGCAGCTGCCGTAGCCCCAGCAAAGCCTTTTTGTGAACGAGGTCAACAAGAACCGACTAGTTGCCGATGAATCAGCAAAGCAAAGCAAACTTGTGGTTGGCTTGTTGGAGTGTCATGCTTTGGTTTGCTTGCTGTATCTCGATCTTGAAGGGCTGGCATATTCCATTGCCATACGTGGTCAGTCTGGCTGAAGAGCAATCCTTTTCACAACTGTGGTACATGCGTTTCACGATCATTTACAAAAACCTTCGGGACTTAAAATAGTTTATCTTGGATGGTTTGCTGCCCTTACTGCAATGCATCAGCCGCACGCTCCAAGTCTGAGTCCCAGTGGCTATTAAAAAATATATAGTCCCTATACAGTCCTTATATAGTCCTTATATAGTCGGTATATAATACTTACCCTCATCTGACTCGCTTGCCCAAAACACCGTGAACTCTGCAGCTGGCTGAGAATCCTGAACCCCAAAGATATTTAATTTCTATACAGTCCCTATATAGTCCCTATATAGTCGCTGTATAATCCCTGTATAGTCCCTATATGATTCATATATAGTCCCTGCATAGTATATTCCCTTATTCGCCACTGCAACCCACAGCCAGCCAAACCTGGCACCTCTCTATGCATAGAATTCTGATCCCTCCGAAGACGTAGATACACCTGTACCCATGTTGCATGTGTTGCCCAAAGGTGTATGTACACATTCAACCCTAAACCCTAAGCCTTAAACCACACATTTCGCACACCCCATAAGCCCAGGTGCCTAAACCTGACGCTCAAATTCGCAATCCCAATTTCCAAAGTCTTCAACCCCCAAGCTCTAAAATGTAGCAGTAGAAGCGGTCCATCATGAGCATTTCTTTCAGCAGCCCTTACTTGCTGCAAGGGTTAAGGGGCAAATGTCATATGACGCGATCCCTGTATTGAACCCCTTCCACAGCCCCCATATGGCTTGTACACAATTGTACAATGCCTCTATACGATCCTAATCGATACACATAAACCCGCTACCATTGAAAAGCCCAAGTCCACACACCCTATGCAGTACGCAAGCACTCCATGCTTACAAGAGTGATCAATCTGTAGAGAAAATGGGTACACTTTGCATACAATGGTTGTTTGTCCTTGAGTCCCTGTATGCACAAAACTCAAAATTCAACTCTCAAACCCAAAGCCCCTAAATCCTAAATCCAAAACTCTAACCTCTAAAGCCCTCAACCCTGAACCCCTAACACCCTTATCCTAAGCCCTAAGCCCTTATCCTCAGCCCTAAGCCCCTGAATTAAAACCCCTCGAGCTTCAAGGCCAAGCGCCCGGGACCCCGCGCCCTGCCGCAGCCGAAACCGGCTCCGCCTGCCGCGGAGCTGAAAGTGTTGAAGGTTTTTTGATGCTTGTTCCAGAGATATATAAGGACATATCATACACAGGTATATAGACATAGATATATATATATATGTCTATATACATATGTATATATATATATTTCTGTATATGTATATATCTATATACACGTATATGATTTGCAGGGAGGTCGTGGCTTTTGGTCGTTCAGGGATGTAGGGTATGATGGAATGTTAGGGATTTAGTGGTTTTGGGGTGTAGGTCATATTTAGCCTCCCCAGGGATGCCAGCCTGCAATTACATTTGTGAGTCATGCGCAAAAACCACAGCGGCGCTCTCGAATGTGAATTTAGAATTTTTGCAGTTCTTCTGCGATTTAGTAGGCTTCTTAAACGCCTTGTTTTGAGTCCTGTGTAAATGCCTGTTTTGAATCATATGTTAAAACCACATGGGCGGCACACCCACGCACTTGACAGCGAATTTCAGATGCGTTTTTGGAGGCTGGCAAATGTAAAATCACTGGTAGTTACAACTGCTACTGCTCTTGTGAAGTACGCTCGGTAGGCCCTAGGGTTGGTTTTAGGGAATCAGGAGTTTAGGATTTCGGAGTTTGGGGTGGCTTTTGCGAATAGTAATATGTTGCTGTCACTTGCTGTTTTTCAGCTACTGTACTTAGGTTGGGGAATGTAATTTGCACTAGAAGGCTCAGAATTCGCTTGTTCCCCACCCACGCAGTGGGGTTGTTAGATTTTAAAGTCTACGTTGTCTTGGCCCTCCGCCCAGAGCTTGACTACAGTGTCCAACCGCAGAGTATCCTTGCAGTGCCCAACCGCAGATTATCCTCAGCGCCCAAAGTATCCTTGCAGTGTCCGCCAACCACCAAGTATCCCTGCAGGCGGCCAAAAAATGCACGCACACTTGCAACAACTGTTAAGGTATCATTATATATCATTATCACACCACACTCTATACTGTTCTTGCCCCCAATCCTCCAGGAAACAATACATTTCATGTGCAATAACGGCTTTAGGATGGGGATGCTCGAAGTGAACTATGTTTGTGACGCTGTTTTTGCACGTAGATGCGGTTTGATTGGCACCAGGTCGGCAGCACGAAGCCCTAGACAAAGGAACCATAAATGGCTCATCCTATGAAAAATCAGCCATTCCCTACCACCAGTTTGATGCCTGCAGACGGTGTTCTCTAGACAACCTGGTGCCCAAGTTCTGTTCGTTTCCAGTGCTATACTCATGGCGACTAGCACCAAGAAACACAAGATTCAAGCTTAGAGGCCTCTTCTAAGTTCGGAACTCTGTGGGAGGGACAGGGTTCCATAGACCCTAGTGGAAAGCTGGATGGCATGCCAGACCTCCAAACGTACTTGAATGCCATTACAAAAGTCGGGACTTGGAGCGGCGCATTGAAGATAGTGGCCTGGGCTCAGATTGCAAGTCTTCGAATCTATGTCCTCCACAAAGATGCGATCATCCACTTATTCAATGGGCAGGCTGCGGGCAAGTCAGCGGCATTTTTCTTCCATGCAGCTGGTCACTCCGAAGTCTTTGGGGATTTTCAGGAGTTGGAATCGACGATTCAGATTGCCAAACAGGAGAAGGGGGTGGTAAACAGCCAACCAAGGACACATTGCGAGGAGGCAGAGCTCATCCGACTTTGCTAGCGCAAGCCGGAAGCCAAGAGCCAACACCGCAGATTCACATCCAATGAGTCGAAGAAGGGCAAAGCATTTCAGAATATGCATCACCGGCATCTCAAAAACGCTCATCTCCGGCGAGCAGGGCGACCTCGTTTACATCAGAGCGATGCAGGACAGGAAGCGGATTGGACATGGAGGCAAAGCCACATCACCAAGCTGCTGACCTTCATGGTGGGCGAGTGGAGTTTCCAACCGCAGGCGCTCAGAGTGATGAGATTGTCGATGACGAGCCGTTTCAACAAGTTGTTCGGCCTCGAGTCTTCCAAACGCCACCGTGGAGGAAAACTTTGATCCGGGCTGGAGACCATGTACCGTCATGTACCCGTCTTCGTGGCGCACTTTGGCAAAGCACTGCGATGGAGGTGCAAGCCTGAGAAGGTGATCGACGCCGCAACTCGTTCAGATTGTGATTGCGGAGGGCGCTGCGCATCAGCAGCAAACACAAAGGTGAAGATTGTTCATTACTGTGCCCTGCAACCATGTAGGCATGGCGATGTGTGCAGTGCGGGCAGGGTATACCTCGCAAGGTGGCCACGAGGGGCCAGAAGACCATCGCAGTTGAGAAGCATCTGAAGCAGTGCCCGGACGCGGCCGAAACCATGAAAGCAAAGTTCATACGCTTTAAAAAGCAGCGAAAAGAAAGAGGGGAAGGAGCTGTTCCAGCCAAAGCAGAGGCGGGCAAAACCAAGTGTTTGCGCTCGCAGAGCCATGAATTTTGCACCAGTAGCTCTACAGTGGAAAATGGGCGACGATCCAAAGCGCGAGCTGAACTTTGCATATGCTTGCGAATCGTGCGCTCGTTTGCGGGCAGGGCTTTGTGACCAAGACTTCAAAGAAAAATATGGCGGCCACAAAGTACGGCGGCAACACTTGAAGCATCGTGGGCAGCAGTGGAAAAGTGGCGCCAAGGGCATCAGGCAACAAAGTATGCCGAGACCGTCAACGTCACCAAGGAGGAGGCCATGTTTCTGGAAAGCCTCACCCGCAGCACCGTGAAACCGGCTTTGCAGGAATGCATTTGGTTCAGAAGCCTGTGTGTGGATGGTGATGTGGAGTCAAACCCTTGACCACCGCAGGGGGTCTGGATAACACCTACCAAGCATTGATGTCGCGGGGCAATGGCCTAAAGGTCATCGGCATTGTGGAGGCGGGCGCCAAGGCAATGTGCGAGGAGTCGAGTATGCCAACGGCGGTATCCTGGTGCCACTTCGTCAAGATGTTCGTGCAGTGTCAGAAGCCTTGTTGTGGAGGAGTGTGGTGAAGCGGCCGTCCTCGACCCAGCATGTTGCTCAGTGGTGGTGGGTTGGAGTCGTCCAAGCCGCGCGCAGGGTGAGGGAAGTCCGGCGTTGCTGTTGCCAATTGGAACGTCAGCCCACGCGAAAATGCCCTGGTCGATAGTGGGGCATACATCACGGCAGCTCTGGAGGGCGACGTGTGGGCTCCGACGCGCTGGCACTCAGAACGATGTGTAGACTGCATTGTGGCCAACGATCCTCAAGACCGGGTTCGGGTTCAATTTGAAGACATGAAGATTTTGGATCACAAGATGCTCCTTGTAGGGGTGGACACCGCAGGCCTGGACGTGGCTCAAAGCTACCACAAACAAAGCATGAGCTGCTGTCGGAAGCCGGGTGATGTGGCTGTCCAAGAATGGCAGGCCTCGGTCGCCAAGCGCGCTAGCGCAATCGGAGCTCTGCGCGCTCCCACCCGGAGTGCCGCAGCGTACTGAACGCAGTCGGATACAAGCTTGGCAGACTTTCCAAATCTGTGACCGAAAACATTAGTTTTAAGGCGCCCCAGAAAGGCTGGCCTTCTCTGAGAGATCTGCCGCGCCTCATTGTGCTGCGGCCATCCGAAGCGTGCCGTCATGAAAGGTGCCGGCGTGTCCATGTTTCCACGCACATCCCGGAATTGCCCACATCTCCAAGCTAAGCGGTACCATCCGGGAACTTTTTCTGGGCCGCAGAGAGGGCAAGTGTGCTGCTGAACTGCCTGACGTCGGCTTTTGTTGCCAAAGGCCTTATCATAAGCTGCAAGGGAATGCGCAGCCCCGATCATGACTCCTCGTTGCTCCAGATTGGTTTTGTCAAAGAGCCTGCAAGCCGCATGAAAAACAACTTCGTTGTACTCAGCTCCCTCCTCGCAGGCTTCTATGGCTCTATGCCCTCACGCCTGTCTGTCCTTAAGAAGCAATGGTAGCATTGGCGCCGCCATACTTCTTGTAAAGCATGCTCCACTCTTTGCCGCCTTGCTTCATCACTAATATGGTCAAAATCAAAGTGGCAGGACCGGATAGCTACCTCCCCCTTAAAGCGAAAGCCAAGCCATGGAAACCTCTCGTTAAAGCACGCCCACCATTGGCCTTGCCGTACGAATTGCCCTGCGCGGTCCAAAGCCTCTGCGCACGCCGCCATGCTCGAAAGGAAACTGAGAAGCGCACGAAGGCTGCATCAACCCAGTGCTCTTGAAACAACATCCACAAGCCTCTGCTCGCCGCAGACTGTACTCGCAGAGCTCTTCGAACTTTGCTGATCCACACATCGGGCGCCTGCAGCTCATGCCACCACGTGCCCCACGCAAGTAGCGGTATAACCCGAGTTCTTCGCTGGAATTCACGGAAATGATGGTCTCCAGGGAGTAGACCCACCCGCGCCAAAACTTGTTCAGTTAATCGTGTCGATGGTTAAATGCAATCATGTTGCTTCTGACGCTTGTTCGCGCAAATCATGCGGACCATTGCAAATATGTCCACACTTGTCACCATCCTTGTTTTTCCTTGTACTGATACTCGCCATGCCCATGGCCCCCACCAGCCCAGCACAGCTGACATGAATGCTTCCAAAATTGCTGTCGCCCTGATTTATCCCACAAGACCATGTTCCTCATGATATGGACACTCCAAATGGACATGTGGTTTGTGTTGCAAACACATAGCCTTGAGGTGCTGGCGTCCCCTCCACCGCCCAAAGCAGAGGCCGCAGCTTCTACTAATGGTAGTGAGTGGCGTCATAGCTGCATGTAGTCGTTGTTGCAATATTAGCAGTGTGTGGATGGCGGTGGTGGCGGCGGCGGCGGCGGCGGCGGCGGTGGTGGTGGTGGTGGTGGTAGTAGTAGTAGTAGTAGTAATAAGGAGGCTCACTTACACTGCCTTTGTGCTACCACGGCTGGTATATGTACTAACTACAACGGTTAGTATAACCACCGCAACTCCTACTCCTGCTTCTGCTGCTCCTGCTGCTCCTGCGGCTCCTGCTATGTTGCTACTGCTACGGCTGCCTGCCAGAGCACTACTTGATATGTGCGAGCGTTTGAATGCGATAATTCTATTACTGCAGCTACGATTCCTACCACCTGTAGTGGCATGGGACTGGTACGACAACAGCAACAAGCACAACAACAACCGCCACCGCCGCCGCCGCCGCAGCAGCTGTCGCCACCCACCACCACCACCGCCGCCGCCACCACCACAACAACAACAACGACAACAACAACAACAACAACAACAATGACGATGTTGGCGGCAACGTGGGCGGTGTTGTCCGGGAATTGCTTTAGGGAACTGGCTGAATCAAAGGAGCCCGTTATGGAGTTTATTATGTGAATCTTCGTGCGAAATCCGACTCAGCAAGGGTCACCACAAACGAACTTTGTGAGCGTTGTCAGGCCAAACTGCCACCTCCGAGTGTCACCAAGGCTTTGAAACTTTGTTTGTCATGTAGGGTTCTGTGTGCTGCACATGTTATTGAAAGAGTGTATGAGTGCATGTTGGGGATTCTGGGAGTGCGGGAAGGGGTTCTGAGGATTTCTCGTAAGGGTTAACCCACGGACAATAAGAGCCAAGTCTTTAATGCCACCCCTATTTAGCACCACCATGTAGGGTTTGGGAAGAAACGGGGAACAATATGGTTTTGGGATTGTTGTTAGTGCCGACATTTGCGGGCGCGACGGAGCCCTACTTTAAGGTTTCTGGGTTGTTATGAAACGGTAAGTATAGATGAAACCAGCAATAACAGTCCGGGGTACCTAAGAACTAGGGTTTTGGGATTTTGTGTGAACCTCCAAGTATTGCTTGCGGGCCCAATTGGGACTGCCATCTGGACAGCTCCTTGTGCAACGTGTTGTCGTCATGACAAACGCACCTGACCCTTGCACACCAACCCTCACAAAACGCACCAGCTCAAGCTGAAATTCTTCAACTCTAAAATGCTAACCATCAAAGCCCAAACCTCTAACCTCCTTTTTATGCCACCGTCGGAGATGTTTCTGCAGGCCGCGGAGCCCCGTGCTGGTCGCCGGAGGCCGGCAGAAGAGCCGGTCCAGGCGGCGAAGTTCTCGAAGAGCACAATGAAGGATTAGGGGGCCCCAAAATGATTTTGCTGGATTGTTTTCATACGATGGATGAAAGGGCGTTCGGCTCCCTGGCATACCTGCTCTCGGTGAAGCCAGTCCATCTTCAAATCAAAGCCACTATAAGCTTCGACGCTTGTGTCTTACATCTGCAGTAGTCACGACATTGAAGCTTGCCTGAGAGACATTTTGCGCCAGGTGCTGCCTGCCAAGAGAATCTTCGACTGGACCTTGCTTGCGCTTCGGCCAGGTTTCAGGATGGTGGTGTGCTACAAATCTGGGTTTTGGGAGGCAAACTGACGTAAGTTCCACAGGGTAAGCATCTTCTGCTTCTCTTCGGAAGCTTCGTAAGGGCAGACGAAGATAAGGTGTGTCACGGCCTCTCTGGTGCGCAGGTTAGGAATGGTTGAAAGGTTGTTACAAACGGAAGGTCAAGGTCTTCCCAAAAGATAAGGGGGAGTCGCCAGGTGTATGATATGTAGTACTTTGCCCAGTGACGTGGTCGTGACCAAAGTCCACATGCAACATCCTAGTGTCCACCTTCTATCCATTTTGTTGATGTCGTGGTCTTGGGGTTAAGGTAGCTTTGGGAAAGTCATTAGGACTGAACAACCTACATTCCAACACATCCCGTGTTGAACTTCCGTGCTTCAAGATAGGAAGCAGCTTATGCACTCCGGTCTTCCAAAATGTTCATTGCTCTCGTATTCCGCTCATGGACCTCCACCCCATTGTGACGCCGAGTTTGCCAAGAAGTATACACAACAGTGACCGAAAGCTGCGCACAACAGAAAACTAAGCTTCCTTTCTAGAGCCTCCTCAATATTTGTTGTTCTCGCTTCCCTACACCACTATGAGCCGGGCTCTAAAGAAATCCCGGTCTGTCCTAAGTCCCCTAACCTTGGGACGTGGCCATCAAGTTTTCAAATCATGTCTTGCATTCTATTGTGATTTACCAGACAGGCCCTACGATCCAAAATATTGTTTGGTCTGAGGCCAAGATCGATTCTCTGCTTCTCGGGGCGGAGAGCAGCTTCTTCCTCCATCGCCAAGGCATTTTGCATGTAGATCTAGAGTGCAGGAGGAAGAGTCCCAGGTTATGGCATGTCCACGGCTTTTTACATTTTTCTGTGCGGTAGCTAGTCGCAAGCGGGGCGCAGTTTGAGATGCTGAGGTTGGGAGACGCGGGGGAAAGTTCATGGAGCGCAGATTTCGGCCACTTCTCTAGGACTTATCTTGGGCTACAGAGCAGAGCCCAGGTCCATTATGAGGTGTTGAGACAGGTGTTGAGACATGATGGATCACGACCTTGAGTCCTCGGCCTTTCTTGGAACAGATTGTCTGTTGTCATCTGTTGGCAGCAACATGAACCCTGCTCAAGAGAACTCCTCACCATATCAACCTTGGGTGCATTATCGTGACTTTATGAATGCTAAGGCAGAAGTTGTGCTTGCACAATCCATGCACGCTTGTCCTTACATGTCCAGACATGTCTCGTGTAGGCAAGCAAGCTCCTTGTTCCTGAAGCATCTGCAAGGGGATGGCATTCGGCTCCCGGGCTATGAGCCCGAAAACTGCGAAAGCAGTGGAGACCTGCCAACACTGGTCACACTTTGAAGTCGAGGGCCATCTTTGCGTTGTTTGCTTCTGTGTGTGCTTGCTTGGGGGTCACATCGTAATTTGTCGAGAAGGAAGAGGGTCCATTTTGACGAAGCTCCTGGTTGTAATCAGTGTTGTCATTTTCTTTCGACTGCAACTATGAGTTGCGCGAGGTGGCTTTATCTGCACCATCCCCTCCTATGCTCAGTACCCATCATAAGGACAGGTGTCAGCGACTCTAACGATTTGAAAAAAACCTTCGTAAGTCCTGAAAGCCAAGGATCGGAGGACCAGGAGGACTACCTTAGGCAGTTTAGCATTTTACTTTGGCAGGTAGAGGCTTCTGAAGGTTCACCACCTAGGGTGTAGGATGTCATATTTGGTTTTGGATCAGTCGCTTTCTTGATAATGCTGTTGCAGAGGTTGCTTCAAGGAAGCCTGATTCGGGAGTTCATTTTTGGTTGAGACAGAAAGCCTGAGCGACACCGTGGTGCTCTCAGGGTTTATCATGGTTCTCTCTGAATCATCCTGAGCCGCTTGATCGTGCTGTTTTGCTGCATCCTGAAGTTGACTCAGAATGATATTGCTCCTGCTGACTGATAGTCTCCCTCTGACCACCATTACCAGTTGGTATTATGGACAAAGCCACAGCCTAAAGTCATTGGTCATGGTTGCTTTGCATGAGGGCCATCGCAGTTTCGAAGTGCTTGCAACAGGATTTCTATTCCTGTTCGTAAGAAGGACTACATCTCTGCAGACTTGCGCAAAGCACATTGGTGCTCTAGTGAATTGCGAGCGTGGAGTGGCTAAGGGGTGCTGCTGCTGACTTTGCATCCTCGTCATCCCCATTGATCCCGGATGTCGCAGCATTTCCGTACCATGAAAAGTAGAAGGATCTTTCCAAGCTAACACTGGGGCCTTCTTTGGGTTCAACTTGGGCTGCGAATGTGGACACCTAGAGGGGGTGTCCCCCACTCCTGTAATCCAAAAGCTGAAGGTCCCAGACCTAAACTAAGAAGCTTGCATCTGAATTCCCTGATGGTAGTGCAGGAGGATGCTTGCGAGAGCGAAGAGTCCGAGGACCCAAGAGTTGAGGGCTTGGATTTTCTTAAAGATACCATCTCTGGGCCCGTTGCAATGGTGTGTACATTTGGCTCAAGGAATTGCTGCCTGCAAGAGTAGGAAGGCTTCATTGGCAAGAAGCGAGCAAAGTACTGATGTTGCCAGGAGTCGGACGCTGCAAAGATTCTGGGTGCACCAGGACTGTTTGTCGTGAGATGGAAGCTTTAACCATGAAGTGCTACGTAGGTGTATCATTACTGAAGGTCAACCATGGTTTGTTCAAACTGCTAGAGCACCGAATCGGAGAGTCATTTTGGGGGGGAACTTGTGCCTGCCTCTGCCGACTCCTAAGAATTTGCTTCTCGGTGTGTTTTCAAAGCTGGGCTCTCAGAAGCACAAACCACCTGAGCTTGCGGAGTGTAGCGCAGATTGCTCGATCAAGAGCCATGACCCCTGACAAGCCTGAAGGGAATAGTGCCACCAGCTTTTCACGCATCGTTCCTCGACCGAACACGCCACTTGTCCCGAGGACCTGCAGATGCAGACATGCAGGAGGACGAGGAGTTTGAGGAAGAGGAGGAAGAAGAGATCGAGGACTCAACGTGACTCCTGGGAGTCTTTTCTTTGTTTGGGATCGATGGTTTCGCTGTGTTGGGGCAGATAAGACACCCTGAGGTTTGAAGTCTTCGGTTTTCCCATACCGAGTGATGTAAAGGAGACCCAGTTTTGAAGCTTGGTCGAGAGCAGGGTGGAAACACCGCATGCTGGCACTTGCCCAACAATGGTCTTGACCTTGCAGGAGGATGATGTTGTCGAGGAGGATGGGTCTGCTTGCATCCAAACCATGCTTTGCAACTTGTTGCGGTTCCAGCACGTCGCGTTAATTGTGTTCATCAGTGCAATGACTGTGGGCAAACTCCCAGTGTTTCGGTGGAGTTATGCCTCCTGCTTGGTTCTTCTGTACTTTGAGCCGGTTCTAGCGTTGACTGGGAGACCACGTCTCTGTGTTCATCAGGCGTGCAGGAGCTGCAGCAGATTTGGGGGTGATAGTGTATGACAAACCGGGCAGAGCCCTCACGCGAGAGAGAGCCGGTGAACCACGCAAAAAGACAAGCTTCTAATCCTCTGGCAGGTGGACAAAAGTGATGCCATGGCGGCTGTCGTTGCCACCACCAGGTCCCATCCTCGTTGAACATGGTCCAAGCCATTGCTTGGTATCATTGGGCTGCTCTGTGTTCCAGTGTCTAGGGGACTTGGACACCTCATCGGGCAGCCAATGCGGCCTCATCCCCTCAGCAAATGTGAACTGGCAGATGCACATTTCCATGTCAGTCTTTGCTCAAATAGGTGTCGCCCTTGTCAACTCAAGGGGGAGCATGCTCTGTGTAAAGTGCCTGCTCTCACCCTAATACTTGCCATCAAACAGTCTTGTGTGGGACTCTCCAAAATTATTGCCAGGCCAAAAGCAAAGATGCCGCCCCCGCCGCCCAGTGGGGAGGCGCTTCTTTGACGCCTGTAACAACAGTCTTGTTTCTGGTAGGTTTCGTGAATGCGGTCGGGAAAGGGTCACCACTTTTGGATGTTTGGCGTTGTGGGGGGTGGGGATTTGCGAATCTTGCCTGGTATCTCGAGGGTCTATCTGAAGCAGATATGTAGGATCAAAGGCTGAACGTTTATGATTTTCGGTTGTAAGGGTTTATGCCTTGGACGCAGGTTTTCTGCAATCCAAGCTCAGGCCTCATGTAGGCAGTTTAATTGATGCTCAGCGGAGCAAGCTGGTTGGATCTTGAAGGGCCGGTGTCATTGGGTACTTGTTTCAGTCGCATGCAGTGTCGCTCGTAAAGGCTGTCTAGAACGAACAAAAGGGCCTGCACTACATTCCCTTTGATCCTGCACTGAAGACCCATTGGTATGAATGTTTAGCGCCATCCTTGATTTTAAGGGTCATGTGCACAAGACATCCCGCATTTGCTTCTCCAGTTTCGTGGTATTCTCAAGGCTGGGTAAATCTTGGTCCAACATTTGGGGCTGAGGCGGCTTTGGAGTATCGAGCGGGCTTGCATGATTGAAATGGCAGATTCTCAAAAGTGTGGTCCCTCTTCGAGTTCTAGGGTAGTACGGCCTAATATTCAGGATAGCTAACAACAGGGTCACATTTTGATACCCCCCCCAAAATGCTCAAAGCCCATGCTGCAAGGTGTCCGAGCCCAAGGCCGCATGGGTTGGCCTCGGGGATGGGGGTTTCTGAAAATGTTTTTCCAGTACTTGGACTTTAGATCCTTTGGTTGTGTAGGCACCTGGCTTGCGTAGAGATCATGCAGGGGATGTAAACAACATTGCTCAAAGATAGAGCTGAGCATAATCTGCTCCGGTTGGCCTCAGTGCCCTGGTCCGTTGTGGGCTATGTAGGGGACCCCTACTTAGAGATCTACCCATCTGTTTTATTCCTGGGGCATGCGCCAATTTGGACTTGCTTGAGTTGCTTCTGGTGCGGCTTACAATGCCTGCTTGCAGGCTACATTCAAAAGCATGACTCGGCACTGCGCCGGTTCATGGAGCTCATCGCGCTCATACTTTGTGATGATATAGTCGGACCTGAAGCAAGACGTCCTGTGAAGCCTGCACGGTTCTGTCGTTGAAGGCTCCTTCCTTGTCCACCCGGGCGAAACCACCGCCTCTTCCGAGGGAGGTGCCTTGCGGTCGTTTGCAAGGGATGCCATGACAGTTTGCTCAGACTTGTGGTTTGAGGGTTGAGATTTCAAGACTTCAGTTTTGTATATGCGAGCTCAGGTAGTCATGAGACGGCTCTCTGTCGGTTGACTGTCCTCATCATGAAGGCCCAAACATATATTCTAAGAAAAATCTAAACTCTGATGCCTATAAAGTCCGGAACCTGCAGTGTACCAAGACATGGATGGGCATAGTATTTGCAATCGATTCTGCGCAAGCTCGCAACTCTTGTGCTGAAAGTGAAAGACAGCAGTAGTTTGTCCCAACCGGCACTTGTAAGCATGCATCATACCTTGTATCGGGTGCGGTAGTGGAGACAAGAATACCCTGCACCTTATGCAAAGCATGCTGAATCTCACGGCAGATATCCACAGATACCGTTTTCTGCTCCGAACACGTCAACACAAGACCCTCCATACTTATGACAAGGTCGTGATGACACCCGCAAAAGAGCCCAACGAACCTTTTAGGGACTTTGTAGGCGCTGTAGCCCCTGAAGAGCCTAAAGAGCCTAAAGGGCCAGTGACCTCGACAACACATTGCTGGGTGCTCACATTGCTTGCATAAATCCCCTTAAATTTCATTCTCGGAGCCCTGGAGGGGAAGCGGAATTAGAACTACCCACTCTTACAAAACCTTCCGCTCAGCGCCTGCCAAAGCTGAGCGAGCGACGGGAGGAGGACGAAGAGGAGGTGAGGGTTTTTGTGGTTTGCTTGCAATGAAGTAACCGGAGATTTAAGGCCCCCATGAAGGGCTTTCCGATATCCTTGCTAGAGGCTTGCAAGGACTGCTTTCGAGAGCATGAAAATGCAAGTGTTTTGGAGGGGAGGAAGTTTTGGTTTCAGAGGTCCAGATGGAAGCAGTTCGCTAAATGGCTGCATGGAGTCTTGCGGGGATTGTATAGAGAGCATGGAGGGTACATTGAGAAATTTCTCCGAACGCTATTTCATCTGTTGCTGTAGGTGATACCAGAATGATCCTGACGGGGGCTCCTTTAAGCCTTCTCTGCTGCCTTTGTGTCTCCATGATCCCTAAAGGCCCCATTGTGAGAGACCCCCACTCGCCAAACAGATCTGCAGGTTTGAGATTTTGCCAACTAGGGAAACTTTATAGAACTTCACGGCACCTCAGATCTCCGCTGTCTCAATCCAAGTTGGCTTCAATAGGACCACCCGAATCCCACAGCCAGGAACCACCGGCGCCCGCGCTGGAGGCTCCAGAAGGCTCCAAGGCAACGGAGGGTGACTTGTGAGCAGCATCCATAGCGGAAGCATTTTGCCCATTTCACCTTAGTTGTCATATTCTGTCCACAGCAAAGCATGCTGCGCCGCAAGTGGTGGGACCAAGGGTAATGGGTGTCAGTCAGTCTGACTGTGTATTACTACTATTACTTTTATTCTTATTATTTTCATTGTTATCATTATTACTACTATTCTTGCTATTTATACATTTTTTACTTGTGGTTTGAGAGATCCGGCTAGTCAGCCATTTGGGTAGGCCAGAAGCAAGGGTTGCAGCCCAGGCTCCTCTGAGTTTTTTGCTGAACGGCTCTGCTTATTCTTCCCGACTTGCCCAGGATTGAGGGGAAGACGTTTGTATATTGTTGCAGCCATTCATTGTGGGAATGTGGATGTATCTTTTGATAGATGGGCCCATGGGCAAAGTAGTAGTTGTTGCTTCCTACTGCCCTCGTCCAGCACCAGACATCCAGCCATTGCAGAAATTAAGGAGTATCTTATCCACTTGGAGGTTCTTGTAAGCAGGATGAAAGAAGCATGACTAGTTGCGGCTTTATCTGGGCTACCTTACCCATCTCAGGACTACCCTTAAGCCTCCAAGTAGCTTGACTCTACTGTTTGTCCAGGAAGATGAGGAAGGTGTCCATGAGGAGGTTCGCTTTTTATGGCTTTTCTTCCTGGTCTTAGCAGCGTTGTCTAGGCTTTGTTCCAGAGTTATTGGAGCTTGAGAAGCCATGTCTTTTCAAGGATCCAGGGTGCGTCTGGTCTCTTGTCAACAGCAGTGCCTCCTGTTTTGCCATGAGGCCAATATATCCGCTTTTGCTTTGTTGCGCTGATGCCTTCAATCTGTTATTCGTCATTCATTGCAGTTCATCTGTCAGCCTGAATTTTGTTCCTGGGCGGTGGTCCTCTACTCAACAGATCCCAAGGCAGAGAAGGGTTGGATCATGCCTCCCCAGTGTAAGATGCGCTTGCTGTTCAAGCAGAGGCGAATCCAAAGCGTAGAGCGTGGCTCCTGAGTGGAAATCGCATGAGCCAGATTTGCCACCGTTCATTTATGATGGCATAAAGAAAGACAAGGGCTTCAAGCTCGCTTTGTAGGCCCAGGGTTTTTTGCTTTTAGCAAGCAGTTATTGGGGTCCATCAGAATGATAGGTCGCGTGAGAGTTGGAGTGTCCTTGTATATACATTGGGGGATTGGTCGATCCTGTTCTGAAGCATGCCTATCATGGTCTTGGCTGGTGATACCAGGACGAGGACTTCAATGACGAGGAGATGATGGCCACGTTTGCGGCCAAACTCCAGGAGACTGGCTGGGCTGCAAAGGGATTAAATAAGTTTGGAGTTTTGGGGTTGGGGTTAGAGTGTTTCGGGTGTTTGCTCGGAGGGTGGAATTCAAGTCAGACGTTTCCTCAACGTAGACCCTTTCGTCCCCACTTCTTAATTTCATAGCAAGCGTCTAAGGCCACCAGGAAGGGGCTTTGATGTAAATGTGTTTGGGAGGTTTCGAGCAAAATAGTGCGGCCTTCATTGGACCTCTTTGCTCTGATTGGGTATGTCCCTACGATCATTACTATACGATATGGGGGTGTACACCAATTAGTTTGGCTTTATGTGATAAGATAGAAGGTTTAGGGGATGGGAGTTTCAAAGATTGTGAAGACTACCACAATATTGTAGTATCTGAGAATGAAATGGAAAAGCAAACAACAGATAACGCCATGAAAGCCAGGGTTCTATAGTGGTTTATAGGAAGTTGGGGTTCCAAACCATGAGGGGCTCTTTGTGGGAGTTTCTATTTTGGGTTATACGCATAGTCTCGTGGGGTGGATATTGGCGACCCCTGTTTGGAACCCCCCGAAACTCACATCATTTAAGCTGTTACTGTCACTCTGCTTCTTCAATGGTTAGTTCCCACCGCCCATGATGGGCTTGTATACGGCGTGTAAGATGCTGAGATCTCCCAACCCACCAGGCTTGGTTGCTGGCACTACCAGCGCTACTCGTACAGTTCCAGTGATTTCGGTCAAATGTGCTACCCGGGCACTTCTACCCAAGGAGCCCTCGGAAGCGGCTGCACCGCCTTTGGATGCGCGTCGGCGCAGGGGTCCCGGGTTTAGGGTTTTGCATTTTGTGGGCGGTTAAGTGAGCGGTGGAGGGAGGTTGCAAAAGCGTTTGGGAATTCAGGAGTTTGGGGTTTGCACAGGGATTTAGGATGTGTGAAGAATTTTAGGAGCAGTCTTTGCAATGCATGCGGACAAGCCGGTCTTGGGATCGTGATGCCATGTGGAAGTTTCTGTTTTTGAGCAAGAGGGATGTGCAAGCCGGAGTCTGCATTATAGTGTTGCAAGGATGGAACATTGTGTTAAGCGCAGCCCTGTTTTTCCTTGATTTTTGAGTTGGCCTTTGAAGTTCAGGTGTATAGCACACCGTTGATAGGTGTGGTGGAGTTTTTCAGACTGTAGGACGTAAGTCAATGGTTTGTAGGTCGCTTTGGATTTGTGAGATTTCCTTGAAAATGCACAGATGGAAGCTTAACAGCAGCTTGACCTGCACACATATTCTGCAAAACCCAGAGTTCTCAATTTCCAAGGCCTCATGCTCATTCCTTGGAACACCGAAACTCAACAGCCTGCAGCGAACTGGCATGGCTCTCCATCCGCTTCCAGGGCCCGTATAAATCAAAGCCATGTTGAGGACCACTCCTGGTACTGCTTTGAAGCAAATAAGAATCAATGGAAAAGCAAATGGAACATGAAATGGCAACTGGGGCCATATACGGGCTATACTAGGGATGAAACCCGTCACCCTAACGATAAACTCCCCCCCCTCGGATTATACAGGGTTTTATAGGGATACTTACTAAGGCCTGCCATACAGTATAAGACCCATCCGAGGCCCTCTGGCCTCGCGGAACGAGCAGGCCATTCCTCACCAACCCTTGCAGTCATGTCAATGTGGGGTTTCTGGTCCTTGTACCATTCTGGGATTACCAGGCTTGGAACCAGGGTGTGCAGAATCCTGTATTTGGGTGCCACATGCCTGGCATATATACTCAAGTTTCCCACGCTGGGAAGCAGCCTGAACCACAAAACATGCAATCCTGGACCCAACCCCCACAGGCCAACGAGCTTGGGCTCCCTGTACATCATCAGGAAATACTAGGATATGTGTCAAAAGTTCCAGATTAAGAGACTAAAGTTTTGCATAAATCTGCATGTGTGTGATCTGCCAAGAAGCAGTCTATGCTGAAGTCCGGGCCAGGACTTTGACGGGAAACCTGCAAACATCGCCACGCGGGCAAAGGCGGAGCCCGAAAACGTTGTTCAGGTGATGTCGAAGAACTAGGGGGACTGGGATTTGGAGGGGGACTGGGGTTTGGGATGACGCGTCTAGCGGTCTAGCAGGTGACGAAGTCAACAAGACGTTTGTGCAGTCAGCAAACTCAAAGCCACGATGCAAGTATAGTAGCAATACCGGCCAAACTAGGAGTAGTGCTAGTCACAGCACTGTAGAAGCGGACACAGCCACATTGGCAACAGCAGCAACAGTAGGTATAATCTTTTAAGAACAAGCATAAACATCAGCATCGCCACCTGCAGCTGCTGCTCCTAGTCTGCTGCCAGCGAGACTGTTCTTAGCGTTTCTGATGTACCTGTCTTCCACAGGCGAAGCCAAAGCCCAAAGCTTGGGGTTTGCCTCCGCCGCTCTCGGGCAAGAAGAAGGCCAAAGAGCCTCCACAGGCCCGTGGGAAGATTCTCCGAACTAACGGGCCCGAGGGTTTCTGGTGGTCATCGAGGATTTGGGAATGATAAAGGGATCCCTGAAGTGTTGTTGTGCGACTTGCAGCAGGAAGCTCCTGATGACATGCCAGACGGGCACAATGCAAAAATCCATGGCTTGTTTTTAAAATTATGGACCCTTTTTGGTTATGTTATGGCACCTACTATTTAGGGGTATGGTCCTCTGGCTTTGCGAAGAGTCTCTAAGGATGTCTCAAGGTTTCATGGCCGTCATTTGAGCTATTGGTCTAAACTCCTATAAGGGGGGTTACATAGGGGATTATTCAGGGTTATACAGGGTTTTTGGGGTTAAGGGTTTGGGGTCTGAATTCCTTAAAGGGGGTTATATAGGGGATTAAATAGGAGAGTATTATGCCGTCAGCATGGAGGGGGTGTAGGGCTTGGGAACTAAGGTGTTCCAGTGGGAGCCAAGGGAAACCCTAAAGAAATCTCTAGGCCCCAATCCCAAAAAGCAGCTTCCATACAGCCCTTTAAAATCCTACATACTCCTTTATAACCTGATGCAACCCTAAATACTCCCTTACAGAACCCTATATGAAATGCCCTTTGCCGCGAGGCGGAGGCGAAGCCTCCACGAGAGCCGGAGGCAGAGCCTCGTCCCCCAGAGGCGCCCCAGTAGTTTACCCTAAGCCCTGTAGGGTTTAGGTTTATGGGTAATCCTTCTATAAACCCTATATATATAACCATGCCTTCTATAAATCCTAGGCCCCTTCAGAAACGGAATTTGAGCTAGAGTCTGAATTCCTTAAAGGGGAAGACATAGGGGTTATATAGGGTTTAGGGTTTAGGGGGTTATGTAGGGCATTAAAGAGGGTTTAGGGTTCAGGGGGTTATGTAGGGGAATTTATAGGGTTAAGGTTTTAGGGTAATTCTTCTCTGTGTTCTACACACCCTATTTCCATTTTCTTTTGCCTTTTAGGTTTGCATTATTGAGGTTATATTCCCCGAGACCATAAACCCTAAACAGTTCCATTTTCTTTTCCATTACCCCTACGTACGGTATGTAATCCCTGTATGCTGGGGTAAATCAACCCTACTCAGTTTCTGAAGGGGCTAAGGGGTAGATTTCATATGGAGGGATATCTATATATACACATACATACATGTATATATGGGGGTTTATATAGGGTGTTTAGGCATAAAAAGGGTTATTGCGGTAAAAAGGGTTATGTAGGGATGATGGAAAGGAAGTGGAAACTATGTTTTAGGGCTTAGGGTCTAGGGGAACATTACCCCAATGATAGAGAATCAAACGGAAAAGAGCCTGGACGACAAAATGGAAACTGGGGTTATATACTTATTTGAGGTGTAGGTCTGAGCTTTGACAATATAGCCCGGGGGGCCCTTAACACATGTTGCTGTGAGGATTTTTAGATGGTATTGGTGCCTGAAGATTCATGAGAGCCTAGTGCTTGACCCTAAAACCTAAACACTAAACCCCGAACAAGACAAACAGAGCGTGCTACCTCCAAGGTTTTCTGATGCAGCTTGAACCCTAAACCCTACCCTAAATAGTAGTTTCCATTTTCTTCTCGATTATCCCAATATCATCCCAATATAACCCCCTAAACCCTAAACCCTATAGGCGTGTTTCCTGAGGAGGAGCAGCCACCACCGCCCTTCTTCGCAGAGCTGGCAGAGTATTGAAGCTTAACGGATTGGCTTCAGGTTGGGGTTAGTGTACTAGGATTGGGGCTTTTGGGAGTGAATGTGGCTGAGTTGGAGGGTATTTAGGGCTTGAAGAAAAAGGCTTCAGGTTTGACGAAAGGAATCCCAATCAGCAACGGCAAGAGCTGTGCAATCACTGAAAAAGCGACGAAGGAGCCAAATTCAAGTACGAATTCCAAGGAAGTCCAAAGTCTTGCAAACATTGAGTAAACCGTTTGCCATGAGGTTTCTCTGGGCAGTCTGCGTAGACACTCCGGTATGTGCATTTTCCCTAGACGCTTGTGGCATCATGCGCACTTGTTGCAATTTCGTGATCGCTTTCTCCTGAAATGTGGAGTCCACTCACGACGGCAATCCTGAGAGCAAGGAGGAGTGCGATGAACAACATTTTAGCGCGGGATGCTTCAATGCCACTCATAGACTTATCAGCAAGTCGCGGCCCGTCCTTTGATTGTTAGTACTCAACGTCATTGAAACCTCCATCGATTCAACCCAACATCCCCAAACGTTGAATGAGCTGCTTCTACTATTCAGCTTGAGCTCTGTTCTGACATGTCCAATCTACGAATCTGCTTCTCATGATGGTAGCTCAGTTCCTTGCCTCTGGCTGGAGACTTCACGGTCAACTGTGCACAGCGTCTTTGGGTTTTGTGTTCAGGGCATTGACCGCCTGAATAGGAATCGATTTTGCAGCCATCTCTATTTCCGCAATTTTAGGACAACTGCTGGACGTGTCCAAGCTGGTAAGCAGGCTGAGGCCTCCGAGAGATGTCAGCCATGCTGCTGTAGTTCCACACGAGTTTCTTTGATGCCTATGGGTACAGCTTGATGCCAATCACTCTGGTCCCTTTTTTGAGGCGCCATATGGACCACAAAAGCTAGTCCCTCTCTTGTGAAAGTGGAAGACTCCGAAATCTTGAAGCCGAACTTCAACAGAAACATCTTGCGTCGAGACCCTGCTCAAGATCTAGTGGGTAGTGGACGTTTTGTCTAAACCCTGCACAGTTTATGTAGTCAGCTCTGTCATCCCTGGACTTGCGATTTGCCAGGACCAGTGGTTAGCAAGCCTGAAGTTCGTCGCTGGGTGGAACGACCAGTACGGGGACCCGGTGTCGGGGGTTTGTTCAGCCTTTGGTGGCAGAGGGCCTCATGAAGAAGGACTACAATCCCAGAGACACCTGTACACGAGAACAGCATGTTTGCAGTCGGCGCAGCTTTTCCATGGCTTGCACATCTCTTTGTTCTATGCACAAGCTCCGCAATGTCACACGGCATAGCCTGCGCCCCCAAACCTATCCTGCAGACCCTGGACTAGCATGAGTTGTTTTTTCTGCTCTGAGGACTATTAACTTTTGAAACCGACTTTTCACATTTGGACCGCCTCGGAGCAGGCTGGTAGGCTACCTTGAAACAAGGTGGGGAAGTGATCTTGGTCAACCGCAAAGCTTGATCGTATGGTTGCAACCTTGATTGCCAAGAAAGGCCTTCCATTTCTCGGAGCATCTGCGTTTGGATTTGGTTTCTTGTTTGACGTGGTTACTCGGACCGTTTGTGCAAAGGAGAGAGAAAGCGGACACCGAGGTGACACAAATTCAAGGTTCGCAAGACAACATATTTGCGCACAGTGAATGCAGGCCAGATTGACTTAGCCTCAAAGGCAAACCCCAATGATCCAAGAGTAAACATTTTTCAGGACTTGGCCTATTCTCGTACTGGCTTGTATATCCCGCGCTAACCCATGCTTAAGGCCAACTAGCGCTCTCTTATTTGTTGTTTTGCATCATGCC